AACCCAGGACAGAAAAACCCACATCCAACTGCTACAACTCAACGAATTCGAGTACACCAAGGCTATTCAGTGCAGAATTGAAATCGACAGCATGATCTACCATTGTGGAATGCATTCTCACGTCTCCGCAGTCGCAAACGAAAAACACGAATATATCCAGGAAACCTCGGGAGAAACTTGCAAAAAGTTGCACGAGTCCGGAGCCATCCTCTTAGGAAACAACATCCTACTCAATGGCATCAAGCAGAATGGAACCTCCACAAGAAACGTGGGATCAATAAGCATGATGGAACTTGTAAAGGTACGACCTTCAGTGATCCATTCGGTAGCTGGGACAACGTGATAGTGCAAGCTACTATCGCAATCACTCTCAAGGATTTCGAGTTACCAGTGAAATTTTCATCCAACGAAATCATCCTACCTTCGGGTGTTCGCTGCAAAGCCACGGAGGAAGAATGTCGCGACGTCGATGGAAGCCTCACCCATTAGAAATTAGTACCCACGGACTCCTGCAAATTCAACAGGTATGACGTCCTCTATGAAGGTCTAGCTCACCGGATGACGCCGCCACTGAATCAAGAAGACAGTCCGACAGTGTACACGGTTACGTCGGGCGAGACCATTTTTGCATTAGCAAAGACAACAGAGTCGGCCTTGTGTGGATATAAGATGACTCACACAGAACACTCAAAATTATTTCTCATCGAGGCACAACAAGAACGAACTTTCAAAAGCAAAACCGGAGTAAGGGTGGAAAACTTAGATATATTCACTTACGTCAACTCCAAGTTCGTGTACGTCGAGCGACATTTTAGAAACCAACTCACACGCTTGTACCAGGACATCATGCGCCAAAAATGCGCCTGGAAAAACAGGTACTCGAGAACGCCTTATCATTGTCCAGTATCGCCCCGGGCGAGATGGCATCCCGACTCATGAAGACACCGGGCTACACGGGTGTATATCAGTTGGACACGGGGCAATTGGACACAGTCCAATCACAAGTCGCTGTTCCAAGGGACCCTACAAATGTCTCTAATCACACGGTGCTGTGATTGGCTGTGTCCAAATGCACCGTGTCCAAGTGCACCGCTCCCCTACTAAAATATATAGTTGTTATACAAATCAACTCTTGATTTCATAACCCCCAAGCAAGGTCCCTCCTTTCCTAATTGCGTCAGAACCACCACCTCGAGAATCCGAGTGAAACTCTATGTTCCTAACTCGAGAGCGGTGCACTTGGACACGGTGCATTTGGACACAGCCAATCACAGCACCGTGTAATTAGAGACATTTGTAGGGTCCCTTGGAACAGCGACTTGTGATTTGACTGTGTCCAATTGCCCTGTGTCCAACTGATATACACCCTCCTAACTCCGGGCAGTAACTCAACATCCTAATCTTAACGCGCGGTTTATGCTGGGAGTGCGGTAAGCGACCCTCAAGTAAAAATCACCATCGAGAATTGCCGCCCTCGACATTGTGCCGAAGAAGTTCCTCACCACACCACTACGGTAACTGCAGTATAGGACCGCATGCAGACCATAAGGGCCATCACACACAAAATTATATAGACGCATATGCATAGCATAAGATCATATAGACCAATGAGCATTGAATATTAAGTCGCCATATTGATGATTGATACTTAATATTCGATGCTCATTGGTCCATACTATCTTATGCTATGCATATGCGTCTATGTAATTTTGTGTGTGATGGCCTTAAGAGCGACACCTTCGAGACGTAAGCGCGGAAGCCGGTAACTCAGAATCCGCACTTGGCGCCAATGGCGCTATCTTCTTACCTGCTCGTAATAGCGTGCATGCACCCGCTCTAAATTTGTTCCGCGTCCAGTTCGGCGAATCTAGGATCGCGTAGATCCCTGGGGAGAATCGCGCAGATTCGAATAACCCTAAAAGAAAAGCGATCCGGTTCCGGCAGCACGGCCCAAGCACTGCATCATACCCGCGCAGCCTCGGCCGGCTGGAACGTAACACAATTCTTCGATATTTCTTGTTTACACTCTTCCATATCTGTCATTCGCAAACTAACAGACTCACTATTTAAACAGTGTTACTAATGTACAGAAATTAAAATTATATCGTCTAGAGGTTTTCGTTCGTACCAATACTATCCCCTCCATTTTTCGGGAAAATGTAGTCTAACCTTAAACTTATGAACGAAAGTTTAAGATATAAAAAAAATATATATTTTTTCTCTCTTATTAAAGTTTAAAATATAAAAAAAATATATTTTTTTCTCACTTATTAGTATTCACTTATTGACTTATTATTAAAAAAGCAAAAATGGTTCTTAACTCGGAGATTCAGCTTATGTTTAGAAATCAGCCGACTTATGCCCAATTTTTTCACCTCCGGTTAGCTTTCTGTCGGATAAATATTAACCGTGATTGGCTAATATTGTCAACCATAAATATGATTGGTCAATTCCAATAGAATAGCTGGCAGATAAAGTTAATCAAAGATAAAGAAATTGGGCATTAGGCCAAGTTCTATAGCATCGTTTGATTTTAACTACCGGTTAAGTCCCAATAGTGATTGGTTAATTCTGATTAATTCTTCTTAATGTCAAACGCAATTGATCAAGTGCAATAGAATAACCAGCCAGTTAAGTTAACTGAAGATTGTGGAACTAGGCCTTAGTTTTTGGTTCAGGCTGTACCAAACAAAGACAGAACGCTGTTCTAGACTTACAAGCATACTCTCTCTCATCCCGCAACACTCAAGAAGTAGCGCGCGTTCCAGATAGTGTATGAGTTTGTTGCGTCGCATGCCCCAACGTGCTCCTACTCGCTCCAACGTACTTTGATTGGTCCGCGTGGTGACGTGGCCAATCAGGGGTGCGTTCGAAAACACTGAAAGTCCACGACGGAAAGTGGCTGTGGTGGATGGGCTAGGTGGGGTTAGTGGAGTTGGTATCGAGAGGAGTTTTCGAATAGCCATGGAAGAATGCTCAATGTGACATACTACATGTGTGTTGTGCCTACATATGTGTTGTACAAAATGGCTGATCGAAAGCGTATTTCGACATTAGCTATAATTGCTTCTCAGCAAAATAATAATAAATTAATAAATTTAGTAATTAATTAATTAATTAATTTAGTAATTATTAATTTATAATTTAGTTATCTGGAAAGTTAATTGATTATATATTCCTCGGTCCGAGAACTCGGATCGATTTCTAGCATCGTGGGCATCAGGCCTAAGGAAATTTATACACTTATTTATTACTCCTTACCTTTAACATCGTATATATAGACATTTCCCTTGTCATCCTTTTGTATATTTTTTTAAATATCCATGCATAAAATATGACGACCCGGGATTAAATTTTCCATTTTTTTTCACAAATTGTTACTGATTCGTGACTTTTAACGTGCCTCGTATCTCGTAAGAAAATTTCAGAACCTATAAAATACAAAAAGCTTAATAAGCTTTATTTATATTTAAAGACAATATTCTGACAATATACATCACTATAGAAATAAATCTAAACCTGGCTAACCTACACTGCTGTATTTAAATTTTTTATCTTACCGTGATGGCTAATGGTTGTACGAATGTTTCGAAGAACAAAAAATCATAAATAATTTAGTAATTTCATACTGTATTGCACTCTTTGCGCACTCTCCACCATCTCCACCGATTCACACCGCGCAAAAGAGAGTGGAGAAAAGTCACACGAGTGGTCCACGGAGTACGGTTTTCGAACGGCCATGGTCGCATGGTCAGTGTGCCCACTAGGGGTTTTCGAACGATCTGAGTGTGACAAAATACACACGGGTGATGTTTTCGAACGCACCCCAGAATGCGTTGGAGCGAGTGGGAGCACGTTGAGGCATGCGACGTGAACAAACCTTACATTTCAGTGATCTGAGGCAAATCAAGAAGCTAGCAAGCAACATCGATATTTTCTAAAAATCGATGATTTTTGCCCATCCCTAACTCTCAGGCTTATCTCTGATTTAACTAAGATGACCAGACGTCCCGAGTTTTCACTCTTTACCCCGAATTTTTTCGAGTGCTATTTGGGACACCGATTTGCCATCATTTTTAATGATTGTCAAATAATTTTTGGATTTTCTAATCCCCTTCCCCACACATTTATGAAGTATCCCGAATTCAGAACTGGGAAATCTGGTAACCTTAAATTTAACTATAGTATTATATTTATTATCGATATTTAATTGTCCAATACATAATCAATACAAACTAATTTAATATTCCTACTTCCATTTTCTTATCATCATACTTATTTCCTAGAATGTTCTATAAACATCAGGTTTAACTTGTCATACTTCATTACAAATATTTGATGAAACAATATTCTTAAAACTATTATACTATTATATAACTAATATATTTAAAACTTAAACTAAATTTCCTGACTCACATAAGAGAGCCTTGTTTTTTTTAATATATTATATGTATACACATATATATATAAGGTGCTTAGAAAGTCTTGGGTTGTCAAAATTTCTCGAAAATAAATTTTAGAGAAAATGTTGAATACAAAAATTGTTAGGTATAAAGTGATGCATTAAATGAATATATTAGTACCTTGAATAGCTTGAACTGAGTTTTCAGAGTCAGGTAAAGGTCACCTCGAATTTTTATAAAATATCCTATTTTTTATTGCATATTTTTATAGATGTTTTTCAAGATGTTTACAAAACATTAGTTACAAACGCCTTTTCTATGAGAACTTTCTGAGTTATGAGTCTTAAAGCTCTTGGATATTTGCATCGTCTATTTTTTTTTAATAATGTCAAAAGCATCGAGATGAATGCTAAAAATTCTTGCGAAATATACGTCAAAATAAAAAGATATATCCAAAAAATATCACTTGCGATCGATTAAGTACACTTGTAAGATATTCTGTACACTTTCCTTTTGTTCTAACAATCAATAATCATAAAATTAATATGACTGAATGAAGACATTAGATTAAAAAAGAAGATTGCATATCATGTTAATTTTATGATTATTTATTGATAGAGCAAAAAAAGGTGCAAAATATTTTATAGGTGTGCTTAATGGATTCCAAATGTCATTTTTTTCAAGAATTTTTAGTATGTTTTCACGCTTCTGACGTTATTAAAAAGAAATGGATGATACAAGTACCTTGCAGTCCTATTTTGTAACTTCCTAATGACAATGTCACTAGCATGGCACGTTGCACAGCTTTTCTACTATGTAGTATACCTACCGCAACGATAACGTAACGATAACGACACTGTCAATAAAAGTTACGGAATAAGCCTACAAAAACGTTAAATATTGAAGTACTAGTAGCATTAATATTATTAAAAACATAAAAGTTCTTTTACTTTGTATTAATATTATTCAAGATACACTATGTACAAGTTATTTGGTTGGATTCTAGACAACTTCTACATGGTACATCTTGAGTAATGTTAATGCTGCTGGTATTTAAATATTTCAGATTCATAATTCTGAAAGTTCTCATAGAAAAAGCGTTTGTAATTAATATTTCATAAACATCTTAACAGCACCTATAATATGCAATAAATAATAGAATATCTTAGTAAAAAATTCAAGGAAACTTTGATTTGGAAGACTCAAAATCCATCTCTCTTTGGAATCCAAAGTCTAATATGTCCATCTAATGTGTTTGATATCTAACAATTTTTTTATTTATTTTTCTCTAAAATTTTTCATTCTTGACATATCTTGCTCGGAAATTTTTGAACATTATATATTTAGGATTTATATATATACACATACATATATAGGATGTCACACTCTCCTCATTTTTGTGGATACATAGAACATAGAAAAGTGAACATAAAAGTTCCGTACCGTTTTGCAATATTCACAATAAATCCCGAAATATTAATTAATTAAAGAAGATTGATGAATCATCACGCGCGATATAGTAGATGAGTTCTAATGGCACCGTCTGCCGTTATATACTTACATATTAGATCAAACTCAACCTAAAAAGTTGTATAACATTTTGCAAATAACAATATAGATTTTTAGATGTTAATTAAAGAAGATTTCTACATTATCGCGCATAATCATGGAACAATTTTCTTTCATTAATATCTAAAAATCTAGGTAGTTATTTGCAAAATGATAAAAGGCTCAATTTGATTTAATGTACAAGCACACAACACCATTATGGTTCATCTATCATATCACGCGTGATTATTCACCAATTTTTTTTTATTTAATATTTTGATTATTATTGCGAATATCGCAAAACTTCAATTCGTTCTACGTTCTCACAAAAATTATGGAGAAGAGTTTGGAGTACTCTGTATATACATACATACATATATATATATATATATATATATATATATATATATTTATATTTATTTATTTATAACATATATATATAGTAAATTATTTTGAAAGTAATGAGACGAATTGAAGTACTAAAACAATATCGCAGAGAGTACAAAATAAAAATAGATAGTCAAAAGTGACTAGTCAACTTTTAGACACTTTTCAAGAAACAACTATTTTGTAAAAACTATTTTATAAAATTTCAGAGAAGAAGAGTTTCTATATTTTACATTTTACTAATATATAACATTTATAGTATGTAACTCTTCTTCAGGGATCTACAATGACAAATTTTAAGAGATCTTCTGTTAACCATATTTTTCATGAGAACCAGTGGAAGAATATATGTTATCCATTGAGTTCTCGACCAATTAATTCGGTTTCTTCTAGATCAGTTTATATACAAATCCACCTCAATGCTGAAGCATCTTTTATATGAAAGATTCTCTGTAAAATATATAACAATCTTTTATAAATATAATAAAACTTGAAACTTATATCTAAATATATTTATATTAATACTAATATTTTACTGAAAAATAACCTTTCTAAATAAAACTTATTGGAACATCTATCATTAGATCTATCATCGTATCATAAAAGAAATGATAGCAAAAGCAAAAACAAAATAAATTTAAATATTTATATTTAGTACAAAAGATAATAATCTGATATATAAGGAGATAGAGTCAACTATAATATATAATGTATTAATAATATAATGCTACAAATATAAGAAATAGTTTCAACCAGTATAATTATTTACCTAACCAGCAGTGAGAGGAACATCATCATCCAAGTCGTCGTCTTTACTTTGCTCATGCAAGAGAACATATTCCCTTGAACTAAAGCCAAATCGTATCACATCTCGCTCCAATAGTTCATGATACCTCCTCGGTTCTAATTTCACATTATTTACAAATGTGCCATTTGCTGAGTCCAAGTCGATAAGATACGGCCGTATTCTTCTACTCTCGAGACCACCTTCTTTTTGATAGGAGACCAAACGATATTGCAGTGCAGCATGTTGCTTGGAACACGATGGATGGTCCAAAGGTATATCAGCTACTTTACGATCTCTTCCCATAAGATATGCTGATTGTCGATGGATATACAATGTGGGGAGCTCTTTCTCTCCTTTAAAGGTATACAACCTCCATCTGCGTTTTGGTTTTCTCGCATCTTGTGGTTCTGAGTACTTTATGACTACACCATTGAAAGTATTAACTTCTTCTGTTAATTTCCCTGACAACTCAAAATTAGGTTTCTCTTTCTCTTGGGATTTTAAACTGGACTCATTTTTTATGCTTGGTTTTCCCCATTCAGGAGAAGGTTCCCTCCTTTCTCTCACTTCCTCTGAGTTCCTTTTTTGCTTATCGTCGCGTCTCCTTCCAGAGTCATTCCTGTCTCTGCTTCTGCTTCGATCATTGTGTTCCCTATGCCTGGAACGTCCGTTATCTCTTCTCAACGGTGACCTTTCGTGTTTTCTTTTATCGTCGTCTTTCCTAGAGTGATCACGCCTAATGATTCTATGATTTCTATCTCTGTCCTTTTGCGATCTATGAGAATCATTGTTACTCTCACGCCTGCTGTTTTTGTGTGTATCTCTTCGATCTGTATTACTGTTATGGCTAGGTCGCCACATATCGTTTAGTTTATTTGTAAACTAAATTTGAAGTTAATAAACTGGTGATCTAACCTAACTCAAACGATTACCCAGCTCTGAATCGTAGCGCGAATTTCTCAAAACTATTAGTTCGATCGTCATCTTCGACACCACAGACTTCTAGGTGCGTTCCTTTATTTACTGCGAATACTGACGCTATGACATCATGAAAGTATACTGCTAATAGCGTTCCGTTTTAACTTCGAGCACTGTTGAGGTGTTGCAAGGTGACAAATAGGAACGCACCACCTTACTGCCACTGCTTTAAGCTAGTGGCACATAGAAAAACTTAAGTGCGGCGGAAGTTCGTACGACAGCCAATCAATATGGTGCTTTCCGTAATAACCTTCTAGCTCTTACGGAAAAACAATATATTGATTGGCTATCGCGCGGACTTCCGCTGCGCAGCAAGCATTAGGGCTATCGCACACAAATTGACATAACTGCATATGCATAGCATAAGACCGTATGTACCAATGAGCATCGAGTATTAAGTCGCCATATTGGTGTTCGATGCTTAATATTCGATGCTCATTGGTCCATACGATCTTATGCTATGCATATGCAGTTATGTCAATTGTGTGCGATAGCCCTTACCGCGTCCTATGTGCAGGAGCCATTACTGTTACGAAAAGTGTATGGTCAGCTTAAGGGCTGTGGCACACAGAAAAACTTAATTTGTATGTACTTGACCGGAAAAAAACTCCGGTTGGAAAACTATTCTTTTAAATCGTTTGTATATCGTATGAAGAGTTTTGAAGTGCAATTGAAAAGATTTGTGAGTCATTCTATTACTTGTAATTAATTGTTCTTTTTTGGACCATGTATTTAGCCGGAAATAATGACCGGAGATAAATTAAACAAAGGTTCGGTATGGTATCGTTTGTATTTCGTATGAAGAGTTATGAAGTATCATTAAAATGGTTTGTGAGTCATCCAAATAATTTTAATTAAATATTAAAAAATCATGTATTTGGTCGAAATATCGATCTCAAGCGCTGCTGTGGAAATATTGTCAGGCACGATCGATGTACTATCTAGTATTTCAATACTCCTGGTTCTTTTTCGGGTAATTATGTACAATAAGGCCTTTTTCGAATTTTGATATTTTTTTGCAGCTCTTTTGGTAGAAATATTTATTTTGACTCCAACATTGATAATCAATCGGGAGAATCCGAAAAATATGCAAGTTATATATTGTTTTAACTTTTTTTTTTACTTGTCAAACGCCGAGTCGGCGCCTCACTGTGATTGGTCCATTGAGAGTCGGCAATCGTAGTCGGCAGTCGGATCGGCCTGTGCAGTCAGTAGTCTAATGGCTCCTGCACACAGTACGCGGTAATGCTTGCCGCGCGGCGGAAGTTCGCGCGACAGCCAATCAATATGCTGCTTTCCGCAATAACCTTCTAGATCTTACGGAAAAACAACATATTGATTGGCTGTCGCGCGGACTTCCGCCGCACGGCAAGCATTACCGTGTCCTGGGGTGCGTTCGAAAACACTGAAAGTCCACGACGGAAAGTGGCTGTGGTGGATGGGCTTGGTGGGGTTAGTGGAGTTGGTATCGAGAGAAGTTTTCGAACAACCATGGAAGAATGCTCAATGTGACATACTACATGTGTGTTGTGCCTACATATGTGTTGTACAAAATGGCTGATCGAAAGCGTATTTCAACATTAGCTATAATTGCTCCTCAGCAAAATAATAATAAATTA